TGCCAGTAGAGGGCATTGTTACAGTGTATCAGCTCCTTGTGTTTCGTTCACTTCAGCAGTGCGTGGTGTCATAACAGCACTCATTTAGTTAAGGAGAAAGTATTTTGAGATCTCTCACAAAAATGATTTATATTTCAAACTTGTAAATACTGTTCATAATATATATACTTGTAAATACTGTTCATAATATATATACTTGTAAATACTGTTCATAATATATATAATGAAATCTCAGTATCCGAATGAACTGTTTGAGTTAGGACAGAACAGGGGTCAAAACCATAACTGAGAATATTAGCCTGTTTTTGGTAGTCAGCTGTGCGGTATAAGTCTCTGGTGGACAAATTAAGGCGTCTTATGCAGAGTGATCAGAAACAATGCAAATGTTTAAATTAAATGTATTTCACTCGAAGACACATTGCCATTAGTTGCCTTCAGACTACTCCCTCTCTCTTACTTCAGAGGCACTTACCCTGTTCTTGGCAGTATCTCTTGCTGTGTAAAACGTCCTTTTGTAATCTAAACATGTACCATATTTTTCAGTCATCTCTGTACGTTGCATTTATCACATGAGCATGGATAAATCTCTGTTTAACTGCTGGTTATTATTTCTCCCTTCTGGTTTCTTCTTTAAGAGTCCATCCTTGAAAGAGCTCATCCATATTGTCATCTTAATAAAGCACTCCATAGTAGTCTTTGGGTTTTGTTTTGTTTTGTTTTGTTTTTCTCTTTTTGAGACAGGGTCGCTCACTCTACAATTCAGGCTGGCCTTGAGTTCACTTTGTAGCCCAGCCTGGTCTTGAACTTGCAACGATCTTCCTGCCTCAGCTTCCCAAGTGCTAGGATTACAGACATGTGCCACCATGCCTGGCTCTCTCCATAGTAGTCTTGAACAACTATTAACTGTTATTTCTCAGATTTACTCCATTAGTTTATGTTCTAAAACTGGATACGTTTTAGCTTTGTGTTCTTTTTTCTGCTTCTTAAAATGGGGTAAAGATGCTGAACAGTATAATAATATCGGGTTATTTATGAGTTATACCCAAATTGACCTCTTCCCAAGTATGTTGAAGTTGTCTGATTCTAACATTTTTCTTTTCATTATGTGTCATAGTTTTCATAACTGGCTACATGTATGTCAATAATCAGTAGATACAAATACATTAGTAAAGTATTTATTTGACTATGAACCACGTCTAGGGTTGTCTTTTAGGAACTAGCTACTAGAAACGTGTAAATAAAAATGATTCTGTAAAAAATTTACCTGTCAGTTTTTGTCCATTTAGTATGATGTTGGCTGTTGGTTTGTCATAGATGGCTTTTCTCTGATTCAGATAAAAACCATCTATTCTGATTTTCTGTAGGATTTTTGTCATGAATGAATGTTGGACCTTGTCAAAAGCTTTTTCGGTGTCTATTGAGATGATCATGTGATTTTTGTCTTTGGCTCTATTGATATGGTATATTATGTTTATTGAGTTGCATATGTTGAACCGTCCCTGCATTCCTAGGATGCGCTCCACTTGTTCATGATGTCTGATCTTCTTGATGATTTGCTGCAGTCCGTTTGCTACTATCTTATTGAGGATTTTTGCATCTATGTTCGTTAGGGAGATTGGCCTATCATTCTCTTTTTCGGTTGGGTCTTTCTCTGGTTTGGTATTAGGGTAATACTTGCCTCTAGAAATGAGTTAGGGAGTATTGCTTCCCTTCCAATTTTATTAAAGCATTTGAGGAGTATTGGCATTAAATCTTCTAAAAATTCTAAGCTTTCACTTTAAAGTTAAAAACAACACAAGGATATCCACTATCACCACACCTATTCAGAATAGTTCTGGAAACATTAGCCAGAGCAGTTAGACAAGAGAGAAAAATAAAAGGAATAAGGACAGGAAAGGAAGAAGTTGTTATCATTATTTGCAGATGACATGATACCTATGTAGAAGACCCCAAAAATTCTGAACAACTTTAGATTTAATAGCCAAATTCACTTGGGTAGCTGGATACAGAGTCAACACTCAAATCAATAGCATTCCTATACAGAAACAACTAACTCAGTGTGAGAGAAATTAGGGAAACCACACCCTTCACAGTAGCATCCCCCAAAATGAAATACTTAGGAATCTATCTAACAAAGGAAGTAAAATATCTCTACATTGAAAATTAGAATATTCTGCAAAAGAAGGTTGAAGAGGATATCAGAAAATGGAAAGATATCCCTTAACTAAGGCAAGATATGTAGCATCACAATCCCTGACTTGAAATAATACTGCCAAGCTACTGTGATAAAATCAGGATGGTACTGGCAAAAAGCAGCCCTGAGGACCAGTGGAGCAGATTAGAAGATTCAAACACAACTACAAACACATTCAGCCATCTTATCTTTGACAAGGGGGTCAAACATGTTCGCTGGAAGAAAGATAGCCTCTTTAATAAGTGGGACTGGAAAAACTGGCTATCTACGTGCCGAAGACTAAAACTAGACCCATGTCTGTCACCATACACTAACGTAAAATCAAAATGGATCAAAGCTCTAAGTAATAAAACAGAAATACTAAATCTACTGGAAGAGAAAATAGATAGAAGTATTAAAGATAAAGGTATAGGCAGAGAATTCATGAACAAAACCCAGACTACACAGGAAATACTTCAAAGAACCAACAACTGGAATTTCATCTTACTAAAAAGCTTTTGCAGGCCAGAAATGTACCTCAGCAGCACAGCGCCTGACTGGCAAGAGCAAGATCCTGAGTTCTCTTCCCAGTACCAAAGGAAAAAAAAAACGTTTGCACATCAAAAGAAATCACCAACCGAGTTGAAAAGACAACCCACAGAGTAGGAAAAATTTTTAATCAGTTGTCCCTCAGACAAAGGACTTCTATCTAGAACATATAGAGAACTGAAGAAAAACAGACTTCTCCAAATTTGAAGACCCTCTCAAAAACAGGGCATCTGAGATGAATACAGACTTCTCAGATAAAGTACAAATGGCAAATAAATATATTAAAAATGTTCAGCATCACTGGTCATTCAAGAAATGTAAATTAAAACAACACTGAGATTCCATCTCACCCCAGAAAGAATGGCTATCATGAAGAAATCAACCAATAACAAATGCTGGAGAGTCTGTGGGGGAAAGGGAACCCTTCTCCAACTGTTGGTGGGAGTGTAGACTGATGCAACTACTGTGGAAATTAGTATGGCATTTCCTCCAGAAGCTAAGATTAGAGGTCGTATTTGACCCGGCTATTCCCCTTCTGGGTATCTTCCCAGAAGAACTAAAAACATTATACCACAGCAATATATGTGCACCCATGTTTATAGCAGCACAATTTGTAATACCTAAACCTTGGAAACAACCCAAATGCCCTTCCGTCGAAGAATGGATAAAAAAGATGTGGTGTTTTTATACAATGGAGTACTACTCTCCTCAGCCATAAAGAAGGACAAACTTGAGACTTTTAGAGGTAAATGGGTGCAACTTGAGACCGTACTCACAAGTGAAATAAATCAGATGTACATGGCGAAACATCGTATTGTCTCCCTAGCGTGAGAAACTGAAAGAGTAAAGTCTAAAATGTACAATAGATGTGAAGTGGGAAGAAAATGTTTGAAAGGCAACAAGAACTAAGATGGAAGAAAGGGGAAAGGATAGAAGGGAAAGGGGAAAAAAATTAAGGTCAGTTACAGTATTAGTGTATCTTTTTCAGTGAAAAGGAAGGTTCATGGTAGTATCAATTAGAGAAATTTTAATGCCCATATCTTATACTTGATTAACTACTTTAAAGATAAACAATGTGCAGTGTATTAACTTTTATTGTATTATTTTGTTTTAAAACTTTGACTTTGTATTACCTTCTTTCCATAAAATAAAAAAATCAACTTAAGAAAAGAAAAAGTTTATGTGTCAGTAGGCTTGATTCCTAACAGGTATAATCTTCAATAGATGTTTCTTCTCTTGATGACAGGTACAATTGTGCAATCAGCAGTTCTGATGACCATAGTCTGTTTCAACGCCTGAAACTCAATTATGCAATTTTTGATGAGGGCCATATGTTAAAGAATATGGGCTCCATCCGCTACCAGCATCTAATGACAATTAATGTAAGAGAGTTTTTTGTAAATTGTTCTAAGTTGTGATAAAATTGTAGGTTGTGTAATTGTGACATACACAATATTTTATATTTAGAGTCTGCAGACTTTTTCTGTATGAAGCCAGATAGTAATATTTTAAGTCTTAGAGAGCCTGTCGCCTCTGTCACATATTGTTTTGTTTTAAAGATGCTTTAAAAAGATTGTTACCTTTTAACTCATCACCCATGTGCCCCAATTTACCAACCGGTGTTTTTGTGGTAAATTATAAATACTCCCATATTGTTTATCTTTCATCATCTTGTAAAGTGATATGGGGACCCACACTACCTACTTATAAAGTCAGACCAGTGGTTTTAGCATTATTCCATAAATTCAGCAAATGATGATAGCAAGCAATACGTATCTGAATTCTTAGCCTGTCATCACAGAATGTTAATTATTAATAATGGCTCTCATTTTCTTCCCCGCTCATCTTATGCCCTTACTCTGGGCCAGATAGGCAAAAAAGAAGTGTCTCTCTTAAAAAAACCTGATGTAAATTTTATCTTCATTCACAGGCAAATAATCGGTTACTGCTCACAGGCACACCTGTGCAGAACAACCTGTTAGAGCTCATGTCGCTGCTGAACTTCGTTATGTCACATATGTTTAGCAGCAGCACCAGTGAAATCCGAAGGATGTTTTCCTCCAAGACAGTAAGCATGCACACGTGTGTTCTCCCAGATGTGCTACTTTGTGTTCTACCTGGGCTGTTTGCCAGTGTGTCTTTGTTCTCATAGTGTATATGCTCTATGAAATAAGTTAGTTGAGGTTCCTGTATTTGGATCAGTTCAGAAATCAGCCATTACATAATATGTGAAACGATAGATGAATTCATTCATGTCCAAAAAATTTGGAATTTTTTAATGTTCTACTTTTATGAGGAATGACAATATTAAATTGAAGGAGAGACAGATATATGACATGTATTGTAAAACTGGGCAAAGTAGTATATCCAGAAATACCTGTATCTTTTGAAATAAAATTCATAATTTTTTTTTTCAGTACAGAAATGTTTGTATAGATTCTGACTCTCCTAGATCACCTTTTAAAAGAATTTTCCATAGTATCTTCCAGTACAGACTAACAACCCCTCTCCAAAGAAAACGGGATCAAACCCAGGAGCACCATACCACTGAGCTACATTCCCCAGCACGTTTTTTTATTTTGAGACAGGGTCTCATTAAATTGCCCAGGGTGACCTTGAACTCCTGATCTGCCACAGCCTCTAGTGTGGTTGGGGTTAAGGGCAGGCCCAGTTAAGTGCCTTTGTCACATTTCATAATTCTCTCCACCTCATATCCAGTTTTTGAAATAAGTAGATTTTATGAATACAACTACAGGACTTTCCTAGTTCCAGTTTCTAAGATATGGAGCACTCCCCCTCACATCCTTGAATAAAATTTCACTTTTACTTCTCCCAAATCAACAGTTTTTGTTCTTGCAACTCAACAGCTTTATCTAGGTACCATCCCGTCCTTGTCTACATGATCTGTATCAGACAGCCCTGTTTCTTTGGGGACCGTTTTCCACAAAATTCTCTCCCTCTTACACATGCACACAAACATCTTTATTTCATGAGCGTGGTCTGGGTTACCAGCTGTTGCCTCAGTCAGTTGATTGGTTAGTTCTGAGCACTGGCATAGGGCAGTTCTGATTCATTATCTCAGTATAGTACATGTGTAAGCATGTGAAACCTCAGAGTACATACAGAGCTTTCTGGATAATAACCCAGAACGGAAACATGAGTTTCTATACACTACGAATTGTTTCTGTAAAAAATTATCTAGACTCTAATGCACAAGATATTCATGTTGTATAGTATTATTATCATTTAAGTGAATAATTGCTAAAAGGATGTTTTTATTTTGCTTAGAAACCAGCAGATGAGCAGAGTATATATGAAAAGGAGAGAATAGCACATGCAAAACAAATTATAAAGCCATTTATTCTCAGAAGAGTGAAAGAAGAGGTAACCATGTTTTTTATCATGACAGTTTTTTAAATTGTTTTCCTCTTTTTTGAAAATCTTAAACTCTTTCTCCCTCAGGTTCTCAAGCAGCTGCCCCCCAAGAGAGATCAGATCGAGCCATGTGCCATGTCAGAGAAGCAGGAGCAGCTCTACTTGGGTCTTTCAACAGAGTGAAAAAGTCTATCAATAACCTAGGTAAAAGCTGCCTTGCAGAGGTTTATATAAAAAATAATCCAGTACTGGGGCTGCATTTTTTTTTTTTTTTTTAGTGATAGGTTTGCTCATTTTTAAAAAATGAGTTGGAATTTGAAGAAGTAATTTCAGAACTTCAAAATATAGATACAGTTCAGTACATTTGCTGTCAGTTTGATTCTTTTAAAATGTATTCTCTATCACAGAAAAAAATACGGAAATGTGCAATGTCATGATGCAATTGAGAAAAATGGCCAATCACCCTTTATTGCATCGGCAGTATTACACAGCTGAGAAACTCAAGGAAATGTCCCAGCTCATGCTAAAGGTAAGGGTTCACACTGCTCTCCGGCTGGAAGCTGTACTACTGCACCCATTGGGCGTATTCATCCTTTCAGCATATATTTAAGAAAACTTTTTCTGCAGTGCTGGGCATCAAACAGCAGGTCACACTCATG